ATCTTCGACTGATGCCAATTCAGCCGGGTTTCGATCCTAGCTAGAAGCAACCAGATGTCTAGCCACATTGATGAGCTATGATACAGCGAAACAGTCTCTCTGTGGATGACAATATGTATATATATATATATATATATATATATATATATATATATATTCAGGTAAGATGAGAACAAATAGAGTACAATTCCAATGTTTGTAACATTTAATTTAGAAGAGGGCTCAATACAAAGTAGAGCAATATTATTTATTTAGGATATTACATTGAAAACATGTCAAAATTGCTACACAATGTGTATCAATGCATTTTATCAGGAAATTGTAAATTACTGGTGAGTGAACAATTTATTTAGATTTAAAAGCAAAATGCAGCCTCTTTTTGTGAGAAAAAGAAAAAAGGTGGGTGGTTATACTGTTTGTGGGCTTTACTCAGATCAACCAATCACATATGACGTACATTAAATTTAAATTAAGGGAAGAAGCAAAAAGTAAGAAATTATTTTTCATAAATGTGTCATGATCTGTAGATGTGTAATCAATGGCAGCACAGATGTTAAACAGGAGCAGATGTTAATGCAAATATATTATACACACTAGACAATGTAATTTCCTAAGAAAAAATGAGGTGGACTGGTAACCTAACAAAATGCTAAACAAGTTATATGTTTTGTGAGTTTCCTACATAAAAATGTTTATAGTTGATAAATAAATAGCTTCCTTAAGAAACCAGTAAATAATTTAAATGTCTAGAATTATTTGGTAAATTAATATGAAACTGTTGACTAAAGATTCTTTATATAAGATGTTAATAACAATAGCCAATCAATGCAAAATGTCAAAAATACCAACCAAATACCAATACATCTGTACAAGATGTTTCTAATACTATCAGGAGATTGATACAAAATTATAATAAATATATATTTCTAAAGAAGTGATGGCATTTTACTTTTTAATCCAATAGATTTTATTACTTAAATGTTATTTTTAGTGGATAGCCATATTTGAGTTGACGTTCCATTTATTTATTAAACAGCATATTTATTTATTTTTGAAAATTTGAATATATAACGATGATTTCCCCTGCCCAGGGAAACAGCTGTTCAAATCATTTTGAAGAGCCCATCTTTTTCTTTAATAAGATTTTCTCAAATATTCAGGCTGATAGATGAAAATAAATAAATATACTGTTTAATAAACGGAGCATCTACTCAAACATGGGTATCTACTATAAAAATGTTGAAGTGATAAAATCTGTCAGATTAAGAATTAAAAATCCATCACTTCTTTAGGCATTGCTTTGTTTACATCAGGATATGAAACTGAGCAGATATGTCTATTTTGAGAGCCTGAGAAAAATTTGTGTTTATAAGGCACTATTCAACTTTACTTGATCATTGACACTCTTCATGGTGGAGATGTCTAAACCATGTAAGATCTAACTATGATCCCCCCTGTCTGGTGGGATGCAGGTTGGAATCCTACTGTAGAGCATAGATTTTTCTTTTATAAGATTATAATATATACTATTCAGATTATAATATATACTATTCAGATTATAATATATAATATTCAGAATTCAGGCCAGTAGACAAAAATAAATAAGATATACTTTTTAATAAATAAATGGAGGGTCAGTTCTAATGTGAATATTCACTAAAAATAATGCTTAAGGAATATATATATATATATATATATATATATATATATATATATATATATATGAATAAAAAATGACAATAGGAAAACTGGTAATTGCTGATGCGTTTCGTCCAATGTGGACTTTATCAAAGCAAAATACGAAAAAAAATAAAGATAAAGTCCACATTGGACGAAACGCGTCAGCAATTACCAGTTTTCCTATTGTCATTTTTATTCATAATATTGTCTTCTCTACCGATTAAATTGGAGAAATTTTCATATATATATATATATATAAATCAACATTGAAGTCAACACCCATAGACGACAGAATATTTTCTCAACTATTTATATATATATGGGTCAGTGGTGCATATTTACACACACTCTATCTGATATTGAGCACTTTATCCTATAAATATAGCATATCTTAAAACTATATTACTTTATATATATATATAATGAAATTGATTAAGTCTGAGAGTTATTTAATATATTTTCTGTTTATAGGTTATTTTTATAGATACAACTTATTTAAGTAAAGGCTCTGTTTTTAATAAAAAAATATTAATTACATTTACGGCCCTGAATGTTCAAGAAATTTTGTAGAAAATATGCATTCTCCAACAGGAATCAAACCTATATTCCTATACAGAAACCATCATTTAATCTGATGTGCTTTACCATTTAGCTACAGAGAAACTTCTGGTTAGCAAAGTCTGAATTACTGTTTATAAACACACAATCTTCAATGAGTCTCTTGATTGATCATATCTGCTCCCGAAATGTATCTTAACGTAAACAATGACAACATATCATGAAATGGATTAAGGCTGACAATTATTATTCTGTATATGTTATAATTCAAATTAATTTCTTCGTAGATTGTTTTAACATTTAGATATTTATCAAACTTTAACCTCCCAAATATGCACGTTAAAGTAACGCGAACTGACAGCGTATAAGAATTTGAATGAAACCTGTCGTGTAATTTAATGGGGTTGTTGTAACGTCTTCCTTTAATGTTGTTCTTATCATTCACCCCTTAGCCACCTTTATCTAGAGACGAGACGCGTTAAATTTGAGCAACATCTATCCGACACACTGGGGTTAAAATAGGAAACTAAAATGATACATATGACACACTCATATCCTCTCTCCCACCTCACTTCCTCACTTCGTTAACTTTGCGTATACTTGATGAGGTCCGTAAAAAACGTGTGAATTTCTTTTCATTTTTCATTTCAGCTTTTGGAAGTAAAGTCTGATGATCCAGAACCCTGTTAAAGGGGTTATGGTGAAATAGCTTATTACATGGAATCTTAACGTGGTCTGTCTTTTATTCAAAATATATATATATATATATATATATATATATATATACACACACACACACACACACACACACACACACATATATATATATATATATATATATATATATATATATATATATATGCAAATTATTTTCAGATAGAGTGTATCTGTAAAAGAAAAAAAATCAATAAAAGACATGAGGAAAAACTATTCTTAGCCAATACATTTCATCCTCTGAGGGACCTTATCAAGACAAATGCAGGATTTATTTTGTTGCACGTATTTATATATAAGAGTAAGGTTGTCACTGGCTTTTAAATTTGAGAACATTCATGAATATTCATCAGGTCAATCAAAATATGTGGAAGGCATAAAGTGCCATAATTCAAAGTCTGGTGAGCCAAAAGTAAGTGAGTAATCTTGTTCTTTCAATATGCCAGTGTGTCTTTTCAAGAAAGAGTTTTGGTCCATTTTCATCTGCAAGACAAAATCCCTGGTGGCAATCCCTGCCTTGCTCATTATCGGGGAGACATTCTTGACAAGTTCAAATTTTGAAAATTAGGTACCCCCAAAATTTAAAAGTGCTAACCTCATTGTCAAAAATAATAATTCAGCTGCAAGATCCAATTTCCAGTGAACCAATATTATGAATTTACATGTCCCTTAAGAAAATGTATTCTTGACCAATCCAAATTTATAAATGATTATATTGGATATACTACAACATGCCTAAAAAGAAAACTCATGCTGCATCTCTCTGACCATAGCTCAATTGGGTCTCATTTAAATACACATACCAATCTCTATCCATAACATACTCATTGATAATACAAATATAATAGCCTTATCTGCACATACAAAAAGGTTAAAAATAATGGAAGCATTATTAATAAAAAAGAAAAAGCAAACACTCAATAATATCAACATGGCCACAATGTGCTGGCTGTGTTTGGAAAATGAAACATTGTTATAACTGAAGATACTTGCATAAAACAATTCTTATATTCAGTTAAAAGTAAAATAAAATTAATAATAATAATTAATAATGGCTAAAAGTATAGCCAAAAGCACTTGGATATATAAAACATTTGGACAATTTTTATATAATTTATGTACTAAAAAGAAAAAAATTACAACACATGAAAAATTATATAAAAAACTTAACCATAGCACCTGGTCAGTAATTTTTAATGAAACTTGCATATATACATACGAACACGAACACACACACACACACACACACAGACACACACACATATATATATATATATATGAAAAAGAATTTGAAAGTGCAATTGGAGTCTTCAAGAATATTTTTTTAGAGTAAATTTACCAGTTTCACAGTTCTATGATTTTCGATAAAGTTAAAGGGTGAGCATAACTTTCGAAAAACAGTAACGATTTGTTTCTAAATTTCACAAATAAATTATTTTTATCACACGTTATCAACCATTGCCAGACAAAGTACAAGAATCATAGTATTGAAACATGAAAGCTTTTGTGTAGCAATGTAAAATGTCTTTATTATAATTTATTATAATAAAAATGTTATAATATATATATATATATATATATATATATAAAAATCAATATTGAAATCTCTACATCATAATACATGGCTGGCAACTCTAATAGGCAGCATAAGAACTACTTTAATGGTCAGCTTTTCCCATTAATAGACAGCCAGGCACTATTGATTCCCAATTATGACTGTTAATATAATCTGTCAACTAGAAGTCTCCAATGTCCAGTTTGTTGTCACTTGTTCCCAAAAGTTTACTTTTATTTATCTGTTATTCTTTTCTCTTTTGGTCAAGTGAGTGGCTGCTTTTGAAGATACCATTTGATGGATTTTATTTCTGGTCATAAGTCATGAAACATGGCTGAGTTAAAATCACATAACATTACTGTTTATGTGGCTGTCCCAATCATAGTATCCCATTTCTCTACCATAAAAAAACAAAAATGGTGAGCCCAGTATTTGAATATAATGTTTCAAAGACTTCCTCAGTACAAAGGGTGAAAAGATTTTTTCAACTCACCATTCTTAGTTTTATGTCCATGGTTAAACTTTGGTGTGATCTCTCTCTCATAAGATCTCGTTTCTGATTTGGGATTTTCTGTTGTTGCTTGACTGGAATTTCTGTCAGAATTACTTGCAGTTTCCATCATGGAGGTGTCTAAAAGATAAAGTTCGGATCCATAGCTTTTGGTAGAATTCTGAAAGCAAGAAGTGAATTTTTAGTTAGAATTGTTGGATTCCAAATGAGGATATTATTCATGGAATTCTTTTGTAATTAATATTAAGATCAATTTTCTGATTCATAAGACACTTTGTGAAATTCCATTAAGATGAATTTTCTGGAAACTGAAATGTAAATTGAAATTAATTCATTTCAATGCAATAAATCAATTTTAATTGACTAAGTTTGTTTTATACAAATCTTTTACCTAGTTTTTTTGTTTTAATTTTTGTTATTTTCTAGCTAAGTACTCAGATTGTTTTACATTGAATGTCAATTGAAAAAGCTATATAAATAAAGTTTCATCTGCTGATAGGCTTTATTAAGGCAAATGTAAAGATTTTATCTTGCAACAAATATTTATAAACAAAGGTAAAAATGTTAGTTTTTCAAAATTTTAAAATTTAACATATGCTCAGGAATATTCATCAAGTTAAGTGAAAAGTGAAAATAAATTATGGAAGATGCTAAATGATGTAATTTAATGCCTAATAAATAAAAGTGAGTAAATGATGTTGTTATTTTTTTATGCTATTAATATTTAAATTATTTTACTTTAGGATTAATTTATGTATTTTATATTTTAATTAACAGGAGATTATGAATTTAACCATATTCTTTTAATTTTCAAAATTATGATCACGTATGTTGGCTTTGGAAAGTAATAATTCTTTCAGGGATAGAGATATTAGAAAATATCCAGGGTGCAGATTTATATTTTGATAAGATTCAATAGCGGCACTCTTGAGAATTTTCTGTTTAAGCAAGTTACTTTTTCTTTTAATAAGTAAGGCATTCTTTTGATCAAAGTTGTTGAATTTATTTCTATGTATGACTAATGCATTTGATAAATTGTTGTATATAAGATCCTTTTCGTGTTCATAAATATGTTTTTTTTAAATTTATACAAGTTTCCCCAATGTATTGTGAGGAGCAGTTCTGGCAATTTATTTTATATATACCTACTTCAGAATTATTATTGTTATGGATACTTTTGGTTCTGATCACATCCATGGATATGGTTGTAATTATTTTGATATTATTAAGATTGGATATATTCTTTTGGATACAAAATATACTTTGAATATTACTGCCACATCTGCTTCCACACTCCTGCTGTATATCTAGACAGGCTTGATAAAATCCAAAGAAGAATCTGCAATAGTATTGGTCCTGACCTGGCATCTCAGTTGGAGTCACTTTACTATCACTGTGACATGACTTACCTGTGACTTTTAAGGATTGCTCTTCACTATGATACCTAGACTTAATACCTTAATCCTTAATACCTACAAATTCTTTAATTTCCTTAATAGCTAGAAATTGATTCAATCTGATGAACTTTCCGCTTTGGTAACTAGACTTTATAAATTTAAGCGCAGTACTAGATTGGCAATAAGGTCTCATTAATTTACAGTTGAATTGGCTAGGTGCAACTGTAATTTCTATGCTAACAGTTTCCTTTCTTGCACTTCTTGCTTGTGGAACTCTCTTCTGGCTCCATGTTTTCCAGCCAACATTAATCTGCAAGAAATTCAATGTAATGTCAATCATTATCTATGGTCTTCCTGCTAACTATTCTTTCATTTTTGCTCCCTAATATGTTTCTCATTTTATCATCTTCCTCCACATTCAGTAACCACTTGTATATTAGTGGCTTTAATATATATATCTATAATATAATATATATATATATATATATATATATATTTATATATAATATAATATATAATTTATATATAATCTAATATATATATATATTTAATATATATATATGACAGACTTCACTCCAGACTTAAGACTGAACTCCCTGCTTCCTCTTGAGGTGCAGTATTTATTATGTATGGAATAGTCCATTATGTTATTATGGGTAAGGTCCCATAACACATATTAAATGAAGATAGTTGGAAAACAATTATATATACAATATATATATATATATATATATATATATATAATAGTCCATTATGTTATTATGGGTAAGGTCCCATAACACATATCAAATGAAGATAGTTGGAAAACTTTATATAAAAATATATATATATATATCTATGGAATAGTCCATTCTTCATTGGATTAAATTTTGACTAAATCAGACTAAATTAAGTGAGTGCCTTGATTTTAAAATCATCCACAGTAAATTTGTCCCCTGGCTTTTATAACATTGCTTCCTTCCTGGCAGATATATTATCACAAATAATAATAAAAATGATGGAAAGAAAAAGAAAATAGACTAAATTAAATTGGCGAGATTACATATAAAATTTTTTTATAATTCCCAGCATCACTCATTCATGTGCATGTGTAGTCACATCAACATAACAAATTTACTCCAGTGATGTATTGAAGGACAATATGTGTCACACAAAATCTTTTTCCATGCATTTTTTCCCAATATATATATATATGTTAGAAACATCAAAAACTCAATATCCCATCATAACAGTATTACATTGAATAACTCTGTCACCAACAAAAACAACAATGTTAATCAATTTACAAAAATAACTGTAAATGCTTAAAAATACAATCTGTCCCTGAAATGGCTAATGTATGACTGAAAATATTGTATACTGAACTAGTATACGTTTCGATGGCAATGTCAAATTTTGTATTGGTTCCACTGAAAATCCATGGAAATTTTGTTTTTATCATCATCAAATGACTTTAGGTAATGTAAGATACATGAATAACACTGTTCTCTCCAAACATTTCTGGCAATTAAAAAATGGTGGCTATACACCCATAATTACATGGAATATTGTAGCTAAAACCAAATCTTACAATGGGAAAGGCAAGAGCTGTAATTTATGCCTTGTAGAAAAATTAGTTATCTTAAAACACTTAAATAACCTTAGTTTATTAAACAAGAGAAATGAAGTCATGGTCATTTGTAGGCATAAAAATAAATATCTCTTGAAATACATTGATCCAGATTAATTTCTACAGTAGATTATAATCTTTCCTTTTTTAATTCTGTTTACTTACCTTATGTCAAGAATATATAATTTTATTTTATTTGTTTATAGTTATAGATCCATTTATTTTAATACAAATTTTATAAAAATATTAATCCCCATTTATTTTAAATATAAAATATAAATCCTGACTATTTTAAATACAAATTTTTTTAAAACCAGTAATCCCCATATAATATATGGATTGTGCCAACATTTCATTAACCAGATATTTTTTATTAAATTTTAAATTATAAAACAGTCAGTCTTTATTCATCACCTGAAGATTGCTTTGTACATGAAACTCTGAGTTGTACTACCATTGCAGAAATACATATATATATAATATTTATTCAAAATTATAACATATGCATATTATAACATCATGACAAAAATTGCAATTTTTTTTCAACACTACCAGTGTCTTATCAAGTGACGGTGTTAATTGCAAAATAAAGGGTTTAAGAGTTCAAAAACCAACCAAAACCCCTCAGTAGGGGAAACATTGTTACGTAACCTATGATGACCAATCAGAATACAAGTAGATGTTAATTCAAAATAACGTGACAATAGACCCTAAGTACAATCTATTAGTGCATTAAATTTAAGATTAGATTAAATTAAAAATCAATATAACAATTAATGTTTTAATTTCATAGTTAAATTTAAAATTAAAAATGGCAAATTCTAAATTTAACCATACATCAAGTTTAATATTATTACAAAATTATTCAGAAATGTAACTAGGAGAAAAAATACATTTTATTGTTCTTACTGAAGTGCCAACCCTGTACTTTTATATATATATATATATATATATATATATATATATATATATATATATATATATATATATATATATATATATATTCAGTTGTGGCCATTTATGAACTGTGCTGTTTGCTTCATAAAAGATGTTTATGGTTTATCATCTCTCATAAAATGCACAAAAAGTGATCTAAAAAAATTATTATTAGCTTTTCTTTCATCTGATTTTTTTTTGCTTTTTATTGCAACATTTAGGTTCTTTGATAATTTCATGTGAGTTGACAAACATCACATAGTGCTTATAAATAATGTCCTTGTACATCTGACAATAAACTCAACCATTGCTGCCATTGACTTAGTGAGATGACTTCCTCAACCTGTTGAACAATTCTGGCCATTCTTAAATTCTGGCCATCCTCATGTGTGGCTCTTTTTTACTATGAATGTGACTGAAGGCTTCACTCTTTTGGCTACAGATGATGCCAACTTTTATGACTGGCATGACAGAATCTCAAAGAACTGTACCAAATAACAGGAATAGCGGCACTTGAGGACTTTCAACAGCAGCAACAACTAAAATGGATAGCACATGCAACTCGATTAGAAAATAATTGCATAATCCAGATGTGACATTCCACACTACTTCAAACAAAAGGTTAAGAAGAAAACTTGCATCAATACTGGAAAGAGTGATAACAGCTACTGGGCTTGAAAAGAGAAAATAATTATATAATCAAGATGTTGACATTCCACACTACTTCAAACAATAGGTTAGGAAGGAAACTCCCATCATTGCTGGAAATTGTAGACTATTTTCCTGAAAAACTTTTATACTAGAATGATGTTATACATTCAATTGACAGTAACACTGGCCATTCAGTCAATGAATGCCAAATGTTTCCTTATAAGGAAATAAGTAATATAAATTTCTACTGTTTAAACTCCTCTCTGGTCTTTTGAAAAGGAGTAGAAATTTATCACTTGTTTCTTGTTTAGGATTTGGTTTCTGGTACTGCCTAAGGTCTTCTTATTCTCTTTCCCTCTCAATAGACCCTTGCATCTTAATGGTCTTTTGACCTTGCTTGAAGTGAATTGATTAAAAAAAGTAGTGAAGAAAAACTCAATTACTTATAAGGAAATGGTCAAAGAATATCAAATGTTTCCTCATAAAGAAATGGCCAATATTAGCATTACTATTAGAGATTAGGAGAACAGGTACTACACTTTGATCCCAGCCTGATGGCTAAGTAGT